CCTGTTGTTCCAGCATCTGTGGATTTTCTAGATGAGGATTCTGTGCCGTCGGCGGTTGCTGTCCTTGACGTTCAGTGTCCACAGGGCGTAGAGCAAGATCTACCTTCTCTGGATGAGGTTCGCGAGGCTCAAAAGATTGAGCTGTGGATTCGAAGGCTTCGAGATGGGTTTGAGAATCCTGCATCACTTGCTGATGACTTGCCTTTTCGGCATTTACATTCTCAATATCGCCTTGAAGATGGCCTTCTTTATTTTGTGGGGACGGATCCTGATGCTCATTTACGGCTGGTGGTGCCTTCGGTGTTTATTCCACGGTTTCTCCATGCCTACCATGATTCTCCTATTCTAGGTGGGCATATGGGACACCGTCGTGTCATCGAGAAGTTGCGCAGATCTTTCTATTGGCCAGAGATGCGACGTGATATTATCCGGTATGTGCGTAGCTGCGTTTGGTGCCAAGCTCTTAATACTCCCCCTTGTGCTGCGGAAGGACGGTTGGAGTCAATTGCAGTTTCTCGTCCGTTTGAGTTGGTGGCGTTTGATCTTATGGGACCTTTTCCGCGATCGACTGCTGGCAATGAGTATGTTATTATTGCTTCTGACTACTTGACTCGTTGGGTGGAAGTTGGTGCTCTTGCTAGTGCCTCTGCAACTGCTGTTGGATACTTCCTCCTCAATCGAGTGGTGTTCCAGCATTCTTGTCCAGAACGGATTCTTTCGGATAATGGTCCTGCATTTATGGCTGAGGTATTTCATGTTTTGACATCTCGGTTGGGGATACGCCACACTTTTACGAGTGCTTATCATCCACAATCAGACGGTCTGGTGGAACGGCTCGTTCGGACATTCAAAGGGATGATTGCGAAGTATGTGAACTTTCAACATTCGGATTGGGATGGTTATTTGCCGTCTCTTCGGTATGCTTATGTCACAGAGGTGCAGAGTTCTGTTGGTGCTTCACCGTATAAACTTCTATATGGTCATGATCCAATATTACCAACAGAGCTAGGTTTACCTTCGCGATTGCCACGAGCTCCTGATGCTAGGTCATGGGATCAATATTTGACAAGCATTCTTCCACTTGTCCGAGCAGAGTCTGCTGAACACTTAGGCCGCGTACAAGTGGGACAACAACGGCGCTACAATTCCCATCATCATCCACCAGCGGAGTACAAAGTGGATGATTTGGTGTTAGTCCGTTTTCCCCATCTTACGGTACGTGGTTTATCTAAGGGGCTCCTTGCGCAGTGGAAAGGACCGTATCGGGTGTTGCGGCAAGTTGGACCACAAGTTTATGAGGTTCGGCATGACGTTCAGCAGGCTGATCCTCCGGAGATTGTGCATGTGCAGCGGTTAAAACGCTTCATACAGAGGGATCAGGAGCAGTTAATACCGTCTACAGATCCACCGATGCCTCCTCCTGACGTTCCTCCAGATCCCGGCCCATCTACAAGAGAACCCTGACGGCCTTCCATTATTCCGAGAGGAGGGGATGATGTGAGGGCCAAGTGTACGGCTACGATGCCGTATACTAATATTAGCGTAGTGGATTTTGGTAGCCGTCGGATTGGTTTCAATCCGGACCACTCGCTCCTGTATATAAGCTAGGGTTTTTGGGTTAATTGATATGCACATTTCTGTATTCCCTTTCCATATTCCATGCACTCACAAAACCAACTAATATATAAAATAAACAAGCAAACCAAGTTTTTCTTCAAGCAAAGCACAGTAACATATTAAAATATATACTAAGATTGTATTAATTAATCCATTCTAAAAGCATCACAATTTATATACTTTCCATACACTTTTTGAGTTTCTAAGTTATAAATGAATACACTCCCTACTAAACTCTCCCAAAAAAATATTTGTAAAGACAAGTTTGCAGATGTACAAAACATCCATCAGCAGAATTATAAGGATGATCACTACTTCATAAAATCACACCATCCCTTTGTTAATTAACACTAACTTGCAATCCTTTGTTGCTTAATAAGTCTGTATAGCCCATTTACTGAGTTCCATCTAGAAGATAAGATCCCAGAACTTTATTACGGTTGCTTATGAGGGAAGATCCAAAAGTTCCAACAATTATTTATATCATGGTCTTTAGGGAAATGTCATTTGATATTCTTACAATAAGAAAGATATATCACGTTATTACTTAAACAACTTAAAAAATAAATTTCATTTTGATTATTTTAACTTTTTTACTTTGAAAAACACATCCACCAAAACAAGCAAATTCTTCTATTGAATTTTTCATTTATCATTCTTAAACGTACAAAATTGAATATAGCAAGTATCAAACTTATATAAAGATCAAAACAGATATTGAATTAATATAAAAAAATTCATACTAAATTTCACAGACATTTGGATCACTTGCCTTGAGAAGTACAATAAAAAATGCTTCAAAACATATACATCTGACATCACTTTCTATATTGGAATGCTTTGAGCTCTTGCCTTGAGCGTCTTAAAGTTAAACGGCTGATTTTTCGAGCTGGGGTTTCAGGTAAACCATGTTTGTCAGTCAGTCCGAAAGCCGGTCTAAAATTCCAAAATGTAGCATCTTCTTGGACACTGCCCATACATCTCGATAAGCTCACGTCTCCGGGCGTGTGCAAGTGCTGGATTCGAATATGGATATCTTTCGGCTGTGGCAGGATTGAAGGCCCTCCGCCATCTCCATAGCTTCATGGTATGCGTTAATCCAAAGCTTGCTCACGAGGAACGATGAGAATCCTGGAAGAAATACAGCGACAGTTTTGCAGCTCTTGCGCCTGGCGTTGCTTGTGGAGCGTACAAGCATTCGCCAGGAAATGGTGGAGACCACTCCAAGTTTGGATGGAGAGAGGATCTAGAGGATATTCGTCAAATCCCTTTTTGTGCCAATTATAAATATACGGTGTTGTACTGCAAGGAAGAAAAATGGTTTTGCTGTCCCGTCCATGGTGGACGATTTTTGTAGTCTTCCTGGCACTCTTGTCTCCGGCAAAAAGTCTCGCCAAGCTGAGGACGATTCCAAGCACGGCCGACGGACCCTTCGATCCAGTGACTGTTGCTCTCGACGAGCGCCTCCCAATCGGGAGCGATGATCTGCCCAACGATGATCCTCGCCTCGCCAAGATCGTTCCAGGATTCCACCCCGAGCAAATCGCTTTGGCGCAAGGGACGGACTCCAGCTCCATGTTTGTGTCATGGATCACAGGTATGGAATGGAGCAAAGATTTGCAGGGTTTTGATCGACTAACGTGGTTTCGATGAATCAGGAGAGTTTCAAGTCGGACAGGACGTGACGCCGCTCAATCCTTCGCTCATCAAGAGCGTCGTTGAGTATGGAATCTTCAAGCTAGACCACTTTGCTGTTGGCAAAGCTTCGGTCTATAGCCAGCTCTATCCTTACAAGGGACTCAACAATTATACATCAGGAATCATCCATCACGTCAAATTGCAAGGTTCTTTCTCTCCCTTTCCTTGAAAACAATCAGCTAGTGACTGACCATACTGATCTTGGTTTTCTCACAGGATTAAAGCCCAGCACGACGTACTACTACCGATGTGGAGATCCTTTCGCCAAAGCCATGAGTCCTGTTTACTCGTTCACAACACTGCCTGCGAAAGGACCATACTTTTACCCCAAGCGCATCGCGATTGTTGGTGATCTGGGCCTTACGTACAACACAACCTCGACCATTTGTCACCTCCAGAGAAACAAGCCCGACTTGAATGTGTTCGTGGGCGATTTGAGCTACGCCAATCTTTACGTCACAAACGGGACAGGATCTTCGTGCTACAAGTGCGCGTTCCCGGAGACGCCGATTCACGAGACGTATCAACCTCGGTGGGACTACTGGGGAAGGCAAGTGTTTCCTTCACAATCGCGCCGAAGCTCTTCGTCTTACAACTTTGGAACTTTTCTTGCAGATATCTCCAAAGTCTGAGATCCAAAGTTCCAACCATGGTGATCGAGGGCAATCACGAATACGAGCTCCAAGCCCAAAACAACACCTTTGTCGCCTACAACGCACGCTTTGCGGTTCCATACCGCGAAAGCGGCTCGCCTACAAAGATGTACTACTCGTTCAACGCCGGAGGAGCGCATTTTATCATGCTGGGAGGCTACATCGACTACAGCAATTCAAGTAACTGACTTATCATTGACTAGAGACGACTTTCGGCTGACCTTTTGCTCCAGGTCAACAGTATGCGTGGCTCGAGAAGGACCTCATGAGCGTTGACCGGGAGGAAACGCCATGGCTTATTGTAGCGTTCCATCAACCTTGGTACAACAGTTACAAATCCCACTACCGGGAAGCCGAGTGTATGAGGCAGTCAATGGAGGATCTCTTGTACAAATTTGGAGTTGACATTGTGTTCTCTGGGCATGTAAGTAGTCAAGCCTGTCTTTTCTTTCTTTGACCAACACGTTTGACTAACAGGTTCACGCCTACGAGCGCATGAATCTCGTCTACAACTACGAGTATGACCGGTGCGCGCCGCTGTTCATCACGGTCGGCGATGGCGGCAACAGGGAAGGCATGGCGATCAAGCACGCCGACGATCCGGGGGCTTGTCCCAAGCCCGAGTCAACGCCGGATCCCGTTGGAGTCCCGTATGAGTACTGTGGATTCAACTTCACATCTGGTCCGGCAGCTGGAAAGTTTTGCTGGGACAGACAACCAGATTGGAGTGCGTTCCGGGACAGCAGCTTCGGCCATGGAATCCTCGAGGTAAGACTCTGCCTATCTTGCTTGATCATCGGCTAATGACCTGTTTTTCATGCATTGTAGATCGAGAGCCCAACTCGAGCACTCTGGACTTGGCATAGGAATCAAGACACTTACCTCAGCGAGAACCACGTTGGAGATCAGATATACATTGTGAGGCGGCCGGAAGTCTGTCCGAATCGCAAAAGCCATGATATCCTTGCTGTGTAGCCTCGAATTCCAAACAAAGAAACGAGGCGCCCGGCCGCTTTGCCAGGCCTTTTCTTCTCATGGCTTTTCGTATCGCAACCTCGTCTTCTTTCCTGCGAAGCTCGGCGTAGATGCAAGCCAGTGCGATGTAGGACGCGGCGTTCTCTGGATCCAACTTGAACACGAGCTTTGCCGCTCGATCCGCCCGAGTAACATCCTGGTGAAGCTTGCAAGCTCCCAAGAGCGTGCACCAAGTTACCGCGTCCGGGAGATATGGCATCGTCTCGATGAGCTCCTCGGCCCTGGCTAGCTGCCCGGCACGGCCGAGAATGTCCACCATGCAGCAGTAGTGTTCCTTGGATGGAGTAAGATCAAAGTCGCGGATCATGGACGTGAAGAAGCTCAAGCCTTGATCCAAGAGCCCGACATGGCTGCAAGCCGAGAGGATGCTTATGAAGATGGTGTTGTCCGGGCGGAGTCCTTCGACCAACATCCTCGTACAAAGCTCGATCCCAACGCGGCCCTGTCCGTTTGAGGCATAAGCAGCAACAATCGCGTTCCAAGTCATGATGTTGCGATTGGGAATGCTCTCAAACATCGCTCGAGCTTCGTCCACCAGTCCATTGTGGCCAAAGATTTGCATCACAAGGTTCCACGACACGATGCTCCACTTGGGCATCTTGGAGAACGTCCACTTGGTGAGCTCCACGAGACTATCCAGCGCATACGCAGCAAGCAAAGCGTTCCAGGAGATGATGCTCCGGGAAGTCATAGTTTCAAAAATCTCCACACACTTCTCGACCTCGAGCTGGTTCGCATGAGCTCCAAGCATGCAATCGAACGAGACCAAATCCCAACAAGGCATCTTGCTAAAAACCAACTTTGCCTCATCCAAATGACCACACAAGGCATTTGCTCCAATCAAAGCAGTCCAAGACACCACATTTCTCTCTCTCATCTCAATGAACACCCTCCAAGCCTTCGCGTCATAGCCATTTATTCCGTACGCTTTGATCATCGCCGTGGACGTGACAACGCTCTCGTTTTGTACGGAAGTAAACACTCTGCGTGCTTGCTCAATATACCCGTTCTCGGCATTTGCACAAATCAGGACCGTCCAAGTGATGGTATTCCACGCTGGCATGATCGCAAAGAGGAATCTTCCCTCGCTCAGATACCCTCGATCGGAATATGCCTGGGCTATGGAGTTCCACGAGACAATGTCCCGCGTGGGCATCATATCAAACACGCGCTTAGCCTCCTGCAAGCTCTCGCCACAATCCACGAATGCCCGGATCATCGCGTTCCACGACACGATCGATCGATCGGGCATGGAATCGAATTCGCGAATCGCTTCTTCCAGGTGCCCGTGCTCCGCGTAGGCCGAGATCATGAGCGTGGACGACACCGCATTGCAGCTCGGCATGCGCGCGTGGATCGATTCCGCCTCGCCCAGATCCTCGCGATGCGTTTTGAGCAGGATCGTCCAGCTGATCTCATCGCGCTGGGCGATCTCTGCGAATGCCGCGTCTACTGCGGTGACATCTCCGCGCTGCCAGAGAGATTCGAGGTAAGCGTTCCAGCTCGCGGCGCTCTGCTCGGGCGTGGAATCCATGATCTTCTTCGCGAGGGAGAGATCTCCATTACGGTCAAAGGCGACCGCCATCGCAGAGGAGGAGACTAGATCGTGCTGCGGCATGAGATGGAAGCAGGATCTGGCATCGTCCAATGAGCGATCGATGGAAGCCATAGCAGCCACCATGGTCGCCCAAGACACATCGTTGCGCGCCGGCATGGAATCGAAGGCCTCCTTTGCGGAACCTAGATGCCCTCTCTTGGCAAATGCTGCGATTAAAGAGTTCCACGAGGAGAAATTCCACTGTGGCATTTTCTGGAACATTGCTAATGCTTCGTCCAAGCTTCCATGCTCTGCTATGGCGTGTATCATGGCGTTCCAGGCCACGAGATCTCTGGTAGGCATTTCATGGAAGAGATCCAAGGCGTTTCCAAGATACCCTTGCTGGGCATTTGTCACAAGCAATGCGGTCCAGGACACGGCATCCCTTACGGGCATTTGATCGAAGAGGGCTTTCGCCTCTCTTGTGTTTCCGGCGAGGAGATAGGCCTGCGCGAGGATGTTCCAAGAGTAGACATTAGGCTCGCGGATCTCGTCAAAGACGGCGTGGGCGTCGGCAAGGCTGCCATGGCGGCCATACATCTGGATGAGATTGTTGGCGAGGAAGAGGTTGGTTGCGTGATCGCTGCGCCGGATCTCGCCGTGAATCCATCGGCCATGGCAGAGATCCTCGCAGGATTTCAGGAGCTGGGCAAAGTGCCCGGTTTCTCGGAATCCCCGGAGTGATTGGGCGTGGGCGACCATTCAACCGCCAGTAGTCCATCCTGGAGATCAATCCATCGCCCTAGTTCATAGTCTTTCAAGCTGGATCATCAAGTGGGCAGCCATTCAATCGCGAGCTCCGATCTCCTCCAGCAAATCCAACACTGCAAATCGCTCGCTACTGCCCGGGTGATCCACGAATCCATCAAGAATGCGAGCGGCTATGGAGGGAGAATCTTTAAGAATAAGATGGTCGAGCTCTATGGAAGGCTTGGATGTGTCAAGGATGCTCGAGAGGCCTTTGACGCGCTCCATCCAAAGGATTCCTTCTCGTGGAGCTTTATGCTTTTGGCATATGCTCGAAATGGGCATCTGGAAGATGCGAAGAATACCTTTGATAAGATGCCTTGCAAGGATGCCGTGGTCTGGAATTCCATGCTGAATGCCTACATTGGCGTTGGTCGTGCGAACGATGCCTTGGAATTCTTTGAATCAATGCCGCAAAAAACTCTTTCTTCCTTCAACATGATTCTTGCGTCATATGCCCATCAAGGGCATCTTGACATGGCAAAAGCTCATTTTGATGCAATGCCTCTTCACTGTTTGATCTCCTGGACAAGTTTGGCTGTTGCTTATGCTCGAAATGGAGAAGTCAGAGCTAGTGAGGAGATCTTTTCCCAAATGCCGATGCACGACATAATCTGCTGCAATGCGATGCTATCTGCATACAGCAACAGTGGAAAAACACTCCATGCACAAAAGATGCTTGAAGAGATGGAGTTCGTCAACTTGATCTCTCTATCAACCATGTTAGCCGCATATAGCGAGAATGGCTTCTTGGAAGCGGCAGAAAGTCTCTATCATAGAATGCCACAGAGAGATTTGATAGTCTGGAACACCATGCTCGCAACATACACACAGTATGGAGATTTGACCCGGGCAGAAAAAGTTTTTGATGAAATGCCAGAGGCAAACAGTGCCTCATGGACGTCTATGCTGACAGCATATGCCCAGCGAGGGTATCCGGAGAAGGCAAAGGATTACTTTGCTAGAATGCCGCAGCATGACTTGATCTCTCAAAATGCCATGCTTTCAGCTTATATTCACAGGGGTAGAGTCGAGGATGCGAGAGAAATATTCGATTGGATGCCAGAAAAGAACTTGGTGTCGTGGAATGCCATTCTGGCAGCCTATTCTCAAAGAGGTCATCTGGAAAACGCTGCTTGTATATTTCGAGAAATGCCGTTTCTGGACGTGATTTCGTGTAATACAATGCTCATGTCGCTTGTGCAGAGTGAAAATGTCGAAAGAGCTCGGGAGTTCTTCAATAAAATGCCAGATCGAGACCTCATAGCCTGGAACACAATGCTAACAGCCTACACGCAAAGAGGAAAGCTTCTCCCAGCTAGAGATCTGTTTGAAAGAATGACAGAAAGAAGTATAATATCCTGGAACTCAATGCTAGATGTATATGCCCAATCTGGGAAAATTGAGGAAACGAAGAACGCTTTTGATTTGATGCCAGAACACGACCCTTCATCATCAACATGTGTTCTCGCTGCATATTCCCGGGATGCACATGTCGATGACGCTGAGAAGTTTTTTATATCAATTCCATGGAAAGATCAACCAGTGTGGAACATTATGTTGTCTATATATGCCCAGGCCGGGCATACCAACAAAACCAAGGCCTTGTTTGATAGCATGCCATTCAAGAACTTGGTATCCTGGAATGTCCTTCTGTTTTCTTATGTCAAGAGTGGACAAGTTGAGAGAGCTGTCAAAGGTTTCTACGCTACTCCAGAGTGCGGCGTGATAACTTGGAGCACTGTTTTGGCTGGTCTCACCAGCAGCAGCGACTCCACTCGTGCATTGGAAATGTTTGATACGATGAAAACACTAGATCTGGTGGACGAAGTCTCTTTCGTGTCTGCTCTCATAGCATGCAGTCGTGGAGGCAGTGTGGACGATTGCAAGAGCTGCTTTAGCTCTATGATCCTCGACTTTGGCCTTGATCCAGGAAAGCAACACTATTGCTGCGTGATCGATGGTTTGAGCCGTGCTGGGCATTTGTGTGCTGCTCAAGATCTCATCGCAAGCATGCCTTTTGTGCCAGATGCTTTACACTTGAGATGTTTTCTTGGAAGTTGTTCGTGGAATAACATCCATGACGGGGTAGAAGGAGTGAGAGATCTTTTCAGCTTGGACCCCAAAGGAGGAGCTGCTTATGTGTTGTTTAATCGAAGGCTTTTGCCTCAATTTACATTGGATCAAACACAATAATTATGCTGTTTTGCTCATGGCGATGGAGAAGGATAACTCATCTTCCAAACTTCGAGCCAACAGCTCTCATTGAAGTAGTGTTGCTTAGGATTCGTCTGCAGTATCTTCCAGAGGGTGTTGTTGAAGATATACTAGCGCGTTTGGCAGTGCGATGTTGCGCAACGCAAGGTTTGGGCGTCTAGGCCTTCTAGGGCCCGTTTCAGTCTTGCCAGTTGCATGCCAAGACATGATCAATCCCCAACTTTAAGATCGTACAGCTTCAACAGGAGGTGATCATTCCAAGCACGATCGGCTTGGTGTGAATGATTTATAATGGCTGGAGGTTGTTTGGTTTTGTGCTCCAGTCCAGGCCATGATGGTGAGTTTCTAGTTGGGAATCCAGTGACGAAGCAATGGGTTACCATTCCAGCAACGCCCACAGCAACGTATTATTACATGGTTCTGATGGTGGTAGTTCTGGTGATGGAACCGGGAGGGCAATGCTCAGCTTCTAGGACAAGGTCAGCGGCAAGTTAGACTTCAGAATCTTCCTAGCGGGATTTCACTTTGATTCAAGAGTCGGACGCTGGGGTCCGATTCACAAACTCTTTAGCAGAAACTTAGTGCTGACTTCCATGATCTGCATTGAGGGTGAGTGGTGTTGTTTGGCGTTGGATCCCTAGGATTGGAAGAAGCTGATCAATTTGGAGCATCCTGATCGATCCAACCCGTCTGTGCCAGTAGGCAGCGGTCGAGACTTCGGCTTGGTGGAAATCGGGAGTGGCTATCGGTATTCTTTCGAGCAAGGATATTTTCATCTTGAGAGGTGATTACTGCTGGGTGAGGCAACCAGTGGACGACATTATTACAGAATCTCAAGTGCTGGTCGAACTCAACAAGACCAAGCCCCTGAGTCCAAAGTAGTTGTGGACCAAATTCCGCAACTTCATGTTGCTATAATGTTTGGAGAGGAGGATTGGCGCCGTTTTGGATTTGAGCAGTTTGGGTTCGTGAGAAGCCCAAGTAGAGGGTTTGTCTATTGTTCAGAGCTTGACTTTGAGGAAGATGAACCACAGGGTAAGTTGTAGTTGTATATTAATATGATGTAAGATTTTCCGTCACAAGGAGAACTGTATCACTCCAGGATCTTCTATGAACTACTTGATCGATCAAGCACACCACCCCCAATCCATGTCCAGATTGGAAAAACTTGGACACCAGCAGCCCATGTTGTTCCAGTTAACACCCCGAGAGCTTCTGAATGGATTTGCCATGCGGCTCCACTCTCTCAACGCCAGCTCGAAGCGAAACACCTCCTTGCAAGAGCTCAAGTCGCCACTCTTGGAAACAAATGCCACCAAGACAATGTTGGCCATCGCAAACGCAAACCAGCCGGCACAATCGTCCTGCGAGATTGACTCTTTCAACAACCCATGCACGTACTTGTCTGGCAACTTTGATACGTCCTCCCAGTCCTCGTTGTTGCTGCAGACACAAAATTCTTCCATAGCGAGGTGACTTCCGTGGACCGTCTTTGCAACACGGCACGCATGACACGATCCTTTTCGATTCTTTACACCACCATGACGACCAGGCTTGTACAGCCAGATTCTCACGCAACCTTGGAAATGCAAGCGCCTCTCCATCGAAACACACACAAACACGCCGTGTTCCAGCTGAAAGAAGCGATACTTGACGCTCCCAGCACTTGGTGGAAGATGAAAGCTTCGCCCCTTGATCGGCCTGGGAGAGCTAATTGTTCTAACTGGATTTCCTGTCGCTTCCAAAACATCCAGCTGTTGCAGCGAGCTCGTGCCCAGGACATTAGCATACATCAGATGCCGCGAGCACTCGAGCTTGATGCCCGAGTCTCCATTGAACCTCTCGCCCAAGTAGCAAATCCGCGTCCAGTCCTCCACCGGGGGAGCACCCACTGCCTCGAGCTTGAGGCTCGGGTTGAGCTTGAGGCTCGGGTTGAGCTTGCAGAGCCTGTGTGACTTGGGCGTGACAATGACTAGAAACTCTGACTCCACCGATGGAAGATTAATCTCTCTTACGAATCCAGTCACTGGGTTCCAAGCAAAGATGGTTTGAGTGTTGCTGTTCTCCTTGAAGAAGAGAATTCCACCCGCGACTCCGCAAAGATGACCCTTGATCTGGGATGGATATGGTAGCTTGTAGTTGAAAAATCCTCTTTCCATATCCCATACATGCAACACTTTTCCATTGTCATAAACGAGAGCGTGCCTCAGCCTGCTCACACTCTCCGCCACCTGGTAGTTCTTGCTTTTGCTATCGCTGGTTTCGTAAGGAGCGTACCTTGCACCACATCTCGTCGTTCCAAGCTTTGCCATGACCTAATAAGTTGCACCCTTAAACCCTTTACAATGGAGCACTTATAACTGATGTCCAGCCGAATGATTTATCTTCAAATGGCATGGTACTAAGGAGCTCTTTCGCGTGCTCCAAACGCTTGGCGCGGGCTAGCAAATCAACCATGCAGCAGTAGTGCTGTCTCGTGGGTGTGATTCCATAATCTTCCACCATAGACGCGAACAAACTTCTCCCTCGATAGACTTCACCTTCGTGGCTACACGCGATTAGCAGCGACACGAAACAAGCCTCGTCGGGCAAATCCACCATCTTCATATGGTCAAAAACTTGGAATGCCTCGAGTATGTCACCGGCGAGAGAAAACTTGGCTATCATCACGCCCCATGAAACTACACTTCGCTCGGGCATATCCTGAAAGAACTGCTCCAAACGAAATATCGAACTCATCTGAGCATATGCCACAAGCATTGCATTCCAAACACACAAGATATTCTCCGGAACTTCTAAGAACAGCGAGAATGCATCTTCCAAATGCCTGTTTTGGGCACACGCAGTGATCATCATCGCCCAGCAGATTGAACTCCTTTCAGGCATTTGAGTGAAAGTATTCTTAGCTTCATCGAGACAGCCACGCCGTACGTACGCAGATAACAAGGCAATCCACACCGCTATATCTTTTTGCAAATGTAGCTCATCAAAGCTTTGCCTCAGTATCTCCAGATCTCCAACCATGGCATACGCAGAGAGAACCAAGTAGTCCAAGCCACGACATCAAGTTGTGGCATCCTATTCAAAACTTGCTTGGCCTTGTCCAACTTTTCAACACGAATGTAGCCGGCCACCATCATCGTCCATGAAATGGTGTCGAGAAAAGGCATAGACGTAAACACATGTTCTGCGAGATCCTCAAGCTGTTCCAAGATGTAAGCTCGGCCTCCGGCATCATGTCAAACACAAATTTTGCTTCTTTAAAGTTTTCTTCTTGGCCATACACATTAATCATAATGTTCCAGGTCATCAAATCGCGCTCGGGCATGCGAGAAAACAACTCCTTGGCTTCGTCAAATTGGGAGTTTGCTACGAGTAATGCAATCAAAGCATTCCAAGTAATTAGATAATGTTCCAAGCATCATATTGTAAATGGCCTGTTTTGATCTCACCACAGTTTCCAAAGCCAGACAACAAAGCATTCCAGCTTACCGAGTTCCTCTCCGGCATTGCATCAAAGAGAGAGTGGGCTTTTGGTCCAAGCGTTGCATCATGCACGAAGTGGTGTGGACATTGTCTAACTTCCGACTTTGCGGAGGAATTCTGCAAATGGGTGCAGAGTGACAAGTATGTGGAATGTCACGAGGAGGAGGTTCAGTCGATGCTTCAGGGACTCGTCAGCCGCTACCTGGAGGCGATTGTCACACCGTACTTCACGCTACAGGGACGAGTTCAACTGGACGGCATTCAACACACGGCCACGTCCATTCGCCTTGTTTTTGAATTCAAGTCGCAAGCAGGCAACGCTGGCGATCCGGACTTCCAGGTGCTGGATGGCTACCTCAGGGCACGCACTTTGTACGGTGGATTACAACCAAGTCGGTCGTATGCTTTGGAGATATGTCTCTTGGGGCCTCGTTTGGAGGTGTGGGGAGCTACTGTCGACAATGGCAGGGTTTGGGCGGAACCTTTTGCCGAGACCAAGTGCTACAGCCCTGAAGAATACCTGGTAGCCACAGCAAGGATATGGAGGGCAATCCATCACTTCGTGCAGGGCTACAAGGTGGTACCACTACAGTCGCCACCAATACCATGGCCGATAGCCAAGGAGACTTCTGTGCACCAGCTGGCGGAGGGCAAGCTTGTATTTCGCTACGAGAACAGTCAGGGCGAGCCGGAGGTGGCCAAGTTTGTATCCAAGTACAGCTTGGACGCACACAAGGCATGGTTACCGTATGCACCAGAGCTCCGCAGTGACGTTTTTGAGAAGCATGGGGTGAGGATGATCAGGATGGAGTACTTGACTCGAGAGAAGGGCTGGATTCCCGCTGATGAAGTTGTGAAGAATGTAAAGGGTGATGCGGGGCACGTTGTTAAGCTGACTGAGTGCATCGCGGTGGCACTCGATGTTGGTCACTCCAAAGGCTTTGTCCACGGTGATTTCAGGCTTTGCAATATCCTCCTCCGTGAGTCCCAAACAGTTGAAGCCGATGGATATCCCAAGTATGATGCCAAGATTGTCGACTTTGATTGGGCCGGCTTGGCTGGGCATGTGGCCTATCCACGGATGAACAAGGCCATCTCGTGGCCTCCAGGTGCGCGCTACGGTGTTGCTATCACCAAAGAGCATGATATCTACTTCAAGGATAATATGGTGGAGCAGCTTAATGTCTAAGAAGGTTGGAGTTCAGTATTCTTTTTTTTTTTTTTTTGCCGAGATGCGTATCCTTTCCATGTAAAAACCTCAGTGGACCTTTGGTTTTGTATTTTGGTGACACGCGAATGTAAGTCGTGCGCTTTAAGAGTTCTCCGACATGTTCTTTGTCGATTTGTTTTCTAGCGTCGCTCAGATCGAAGGTTTTGGATTTCCTAATATTCATTTGACAAGTCAATCAAACTGTGTCAATACTTAGAGATTGCGCAGCTGAAACCAGCCCCTGGCCGAGCACTGCATGGTGGACGCTCTTACCCTCGCAAACGAGCTAGAGGAACGCTGGAAATGGTGGAAAGCGAGGCGAGTAGTGTTTGCTTGGAGAATGGTGCTCGTTTAGACGGTTCTCGATTATAGAGGCCAAGTTCTCAAAGAGGGAGATTCTGGGAGTGGTTAGGGGACGCGAGCAAATGCCAGCGATTCTTCCTATAGAAGAAGTCGCGAGGATGATTGTGGAGCAGTGGCATGAGGATTTTGAGCTATGTTGATTGAGCATGTTCAATTAGAGGACATCCTCAAGATCAAGAATTCTCAGACTGCAGCGGGGGCTTGGTGTGCGCTTCAACAATTCTATTGTGAGCAATCATGGGCTACGGAGATGAGCAGAATTGTTGCCAGGGTCACGAAAGGTGCAAGACTACATCGACCAAATGACGGCACTCCGGTGACAACCAATATGAAATCGTCATTTTCTGATGCAACGGGAGCTCTCATTCTTGCTCTACATGAGAAGTAATGAATCGCCTTCGATCAGACTTGGATCAAGTCATTGCCAGCATTCATCACTACACCAGCCTTAAGCGACATCTTCTCAGAAAAAGATGCATCGAAGGGCATGACGTTGGTCGCTTGAGTAGCTAGGAGGACATTCAACAAAAGGCAAAAAGCAGGAAACGAATGGAATTTGGTGACGAGTCAAGTACATGAACATTCGATGCAACAAATGTTTGGACACTTTGTTGCCAATTGCCCAAGTCAAAAGGATCGTAAGCGCAAAGGACTGGTGAATCTGGCAATGACTGAAAAAAATAATGATCTTGATGGTACTTTGTTTTCTTAGAACTTATCTTTCGTCTTTGCAGATTATGCTGTGTTAGAGCAAGAGCTGGTTTCTGGATAGTGATGCCATCCACCACATGACGTCTGACCAATCACTCTTTTGCACCTATAAGAAGCTATCTCTATCAATATAGCTAGCAGAGAGGCTTTGCAAATAATAGCATTTGGATCAATTTATTTTCCATGCTTCAACTTGAATCTTTAATGTTTGTTTGTTCCAAAGTTACAAGAATTTTCATTCAAAAGGATCGTAAGCGCAAAGGATTGATGGTGGATCAGGCAATGACTGAGAAAGATAATGATCTGGATGACTTTGTTTTCTCAGAACTTGTCTTTCGTCTCTGCAGATTATGCTGTTAGAGCAAGAGTTGGCTTCTGGATAGTGGTGCTATCCCTGACCGATCACTCTTTTGAAAGATAAGCTATAAGAAGTTCTCTTCTCTCTATTAGTAGAGAAGCTTTGCAAATAATAGCATTTGGATCAATTTATTTCAACTTGAATCTCTAATGTTTGTTTGTTCCAAAGTTAGCCAAGAATTTTCTCTCAGTTTATCAGCTTACAGAGCAAGGAGTCTACACAGTTTTCCATCACACAGCTGTGAACTTCATTTTCCATTGAACACAAATTGCCCAAGTGATAGCTATAAGAATGGAGTTCACTTTATTTCTTGTGATCGTAAATGTTGCATCCATCACTAATAATTCATCCTTACAGTTATGGCTCCCTCATTTGGGGCATGTAAGTTTTAGATGAGTCAAAGAGACATCTCAAATAGTTTGCGGAGTAACTAATGTATAGCATACAAAAATAATGCATGCGAGAGCTGTCTATATGTGAAAATGAAGAAAAAACCATTGCCTAAAAAAGCTACAACTAGAGGTTAATCAGTTTTAGATCTTGTTCACATTGATGTTTGGGGGCCTTCACATACTTTGTGCTGATCGTAGATGACCTTAGTTGTTTCACTATGGTTTCCTTTTTAAAGCAAAAATTGAACGCACCTTGGAAATTTCTTGAATGGAGTTGAGAATCTGTGATACACTTGGTGTGCGAGTCTGCAAACAGCAGATTTCTGCACGATCCTCGCATCATAAGGCATATCTCTCCAGATCTCTATGTGTATGATCATATAGCCACAAAGAAGGATGTTGACTGTATTGTGGCATGAGCAATGCTCAAGGCCATGAATGTCCCAAAGTTTTTCTGCACACAGGCTGTGAACACAGTAGTACACATTCAGAACAAAAGCTGTACTAAATAAAACACTGAATGGCTAAACCTTCTATTTAGTACTTTGTGTGTTTGGTTGCGTAGGGGTCATGTATATATCCAATGAGGAATGGTGAAATAAATGGGAAATCAATCAACAAGATGCCTAATGCTTGGCTACAGTGAGAATACAAAATGTGGCTATTAGGTTTGGATTTTCAGTCATAAGAAAGCCGGGTCAAAGACACTACCACAGATTTATCACCACTTGTGACTCAGAAATCACCACTGCCACTCCATGTGGAATTGCCACCTAAAATTCCATTGCAAGCTCCACTCATTCCACAAGAACATGATCCTCAAATAGCAATGCAAGGTAATTTACCGCAAATCCTAACATAGTGGATTTTCAAATTTCAGATCACAAAGCTCAAGATTAGTGGATCATACTTTCCAAGATATCCCCACAGCACCTACATGATCTTCTTGTTCTTGGAAGCCAATAGAGAACATTCTATATTACTATGCTCAAGCTGCACAAGTTGTTCACAAGTCAAAAACACTGGAGGAGGCCTTGTCAGGCCCTTAACAATTTCAATGGAAAGCTCTGATGCAAGCAGAGTACAATGTGCAACTAGAAAACAACCTTTGAATACTTGTTGCACCATAAGAAGTTCCTAAAGAGCGGTAAACTTCTTTCTTTCTAGGCTTAAAAATTTCTCATGACAGAGAGCGATTTTTTCTAAGGATTCATTAACAGAAGTACATCACTAATCCCATCAAAAAATATAAAATTTCTTCACCACACATTCAGTGCCAACTCCTGCACTACAATTTTACAAACTCTCCAAAGCTAATGAATTATATTTTGAGAGGGAGAAAAAACGAAGATGATATAGCTACTATATTAGAATTTTGTTGGAGCTTTGATGTAGGCCAGACATAGCAATGGCAGTGTCTTGAGTATGTCAATTCATGTAGAACCCGGGGAAGAGGCAGTGATACAAGGTGGAGCAAATCTTCAACTATGTGGCACAAACCTTA